AGCCCCTATGCTTATTTGCTCTTTGGAATGCGGGCCCTGTGGCCTAGCCCGGCTAAGGAACACACCCCAAGCTGCAGCACTCCTACGAGGCAGCATCAGCGTGCAGGGTCAGCAGCTACTTCCTGCCTGGCTGCCGATTTGGGCCGAATGTTCCCTCCACAGTCACTGTGCGTGTGACATGGACGCTCATTCTCCGCAGCGCCTCTTCAGGCGGGGGCGTCTTCCTGACTGGAGAAGAGCTGCCAGAGCGGGGGTTGGTCCCCCAGTTTGCTGGAAGACTCACTCCTTTTGTCTCGGCCTCAGTTCCCACCCTGATGGTACAAACCAGCCATGCTCACTGGTGTACGGAAGGGCAAATGAAGTAGTACACATGACAGGCACGTCACACTCAGCCTGGCACATGTCAAGGAGGTGTGGGGTTTAGTCAGCAAATACTTGTGCCCAGGGTGCTGGAGATAAACAGCCAGCAAGACACAAAGCCCTGAGCCTGTGACCTTTACAATCTCGAGGGACAGAAAAGCAGTGAAGATCTCACACTTAGTGTGTCAGGGTGAAGTAAAGGGCCACAAAGGAAGCCACTGCATGTGGAGTCCCAAGGGCCGAGCCTGGGCGAGGTGCAGGAAGAGCAGGAGGGGCGCAGACTGGAAGGCCCTGGAGTATTGGCTCTGCCAGGCTCCAGGGCCGATGGCCTGGGGCCGTGCTGAGTTCCACGATCACTAACCAAATCGCTGGGAAACGGCCCTCACGGGAACCTGGGGCCTCCAATCCTTTGCCTATAATTAAGCTTGGAACTTGTAACAATAACAAAGCCATGGCTGAATCATCAGTGTTACATGACAAAAAGAATGTAGTTAATCCATCTTCAAATCCCACCGTCTCCAAGCTGAGGCACGAGAATCGAGGCCAGCCTCGGCTGCCTAGTGAGTTCGAGGCCAGCCTGAACTGCATCTCAAGAACTTGTCTCTAAAAACAACAATAACAACACCACCAAAGATTCTACCCGCTTCAAGACGTAAGCCTGACTTGCGCAGAATCAGTGACCCTCCACGACACCCCAACTTGCAAGCCACAGTGACGCTGCTGCTCGCCCCAGCCCAAGTCTGTCAGGATGCTGACGTGCTCCCTGTCCGGAGCTTGGAGCCAGGACAGACGGGACCTGGGTGCTGGAAAAACTTTTCCTTCCACACCCAAAGAGGAGAGTAAATCAGAAGCGCTCTGAGGAACCGGACTCGGCCACAGCTCACAGGGTCAAAGGGTGCCATGCACTGCCCTCCTGGCAGCAAGGCAGGACAGACACAGAGCCAGCTGTGTGCTGGGGCGCACAGGCAGAGGTATATATAATCTCACGGCAGTACAGTGAGGTCACACTCTCAGAACAGCTGTAAACCAGCCAGCCGTCACAAAATGAAAGGAAAAGGCAGGAAGACAGCCCAGCCAACCGAAGAGGCCAGGACAGTGATTCCCGAAGCCTCCCCTCAGCAACAGCACCGCCAGGGCTAAGGATGGCAGATGTTCTGAGCTTTGATGACATCCAGGTTCCCACCGTCTGAGGTTAATCCATGTCTTGGTTACTTTTGTCTGGTTGCTGAGACAAAATACTGGACACCCAAAGTGAAGGAAGGAAAGGTTTATTCATACTCTGTGGAGGCTTCAGTCCATATTCAGCGGGCTCCCAGGCAGAATGGTCTACGGCAGGGGGCGGCCATTCACAGTGGTGAAAACAGCACCAACAAGAAGAGCAAAGGGAGGCGCACAGAGGAAGACTCTGTCCCTAGCACTGTATGCAGGCCACGCCCACTTGGGTATGGTACTCCTCATGGTTTATGTCTGTGGCCCCCAGGCCTCATGAATTTGCATTGTGCATCTGTGATTGGTTCACTGTCTAGAGCTTGGATTGATGGTTCAGTGCCACACCCACCTGGGGTGGAGCCAGCATATAATGTAACAGCAGGAAGAAGGCGTGTCTCTCTCAGGTTTGCAGCCACCATGAACTGTGGCCCGTTGTGCTGCCCTGCCTCGGAGCTAACTGAGTATGGACTGAAACCTCCAAAAATTGTAAGAAATAAACCTTTCCTTTCCCAACTTTGGGCATCAGGTATTTTGTCTCAGCGATGAGTAAAAAGTAACTAAGCCACACTCACACCCCTAATCCCAGCACTGGACTATGAGCCATCCACAAACTCCAGAAGCCCGGATCCATAGCTGCATGAGATTTTGAGGGAAATCCAGACTCAAACCATAAGAGTCTGGTTTGGTAACATGGGACCAGACTGCAGTGTGACATTGCTGAAAGTTGCCCAAGGAGCTCTGAAGACTGTAGGGGGTTTTCAAGCTCATTTGTCTATCCTGAGGGAACTTCAGGGTCATTTAAAAAATCCTGGTTCATGTGAAAAGGTACAGATCAGGTTTTTTGTTGCATTCATTTCTGTTTTCATTTTTCACTTCTGTGAGGCTGATTCAGCAACAACACACTCTGCTGCAATGAAAAGCACCGGGAAACCAAGGCCTCCCTGGGTGCCTCTAGAGAGCCATCGTCTGTCTGGCTCAGCTGCCTGGGCACTGGCCCAGAGGCAGCACAAAGACACACAGCAGACAGTCCAGGCCTTATTTTTAAAAAGTCTAACAAACACAAACATATATATACCATACAGTTCATTATTGTAGCCATTTTAAAGTGTACAATCCAGAAGTATGTTAATATCCCCACTAAGTATTTGACCTTTACCCCCATAATTCCAAAATACATTCAGCACCCCTGAGGGAAGCTCCCCGGTAGTCTCTCTACCGCCTGCTCCCAGCTCCAATGGCCCCACCTTGCTTCCCTCTCAGTGACTGTGCTGCTCTGGACATTACTTAGAAGCCCCATCATGCAATATTTGGCTTTTTGTGTTCAGCTCAGTGATTCTACTCAGGACATACCACAAAGAATTGGGAACATGCCAGGTGTAGGGGTGCACACCTGTAATCCCGGCTCTCTGGGAGGCTGAGGCAGAAGGACTACAAGTCACGCCCAATGGCAATTTAATAACTTAGTGAGATCCTGCCCTGAAATCTCAAGAAGTTTTTTTAAAAAGTGCTGGGGATACAGCTTAGTATGAAGGCCCTGGATTTAACACTTGATACCATGAAAAAAAATTTTAAAAAGAATTAGAAACAGGTGCTCATGAAAAATTCATCCATGACTGCTCACATAACGGTAGCATAATTACAATAACCAAAAACTGGGAAAAAACATCCAAGGTCCAAACAAAATGTGTATCCTTACACCAGAACGTCACTGAGCCCTGGGGAAGAATACAGCCCTGGTGTCTACCACAACACAGGCAGATGCCAAAGGAAAAGGTGTGCTAAAGAAGCCAGCCGTGAAGACCGAAATGGAGGCTCCTCCTGCAGGCACACTACGCCCCGCCGCCTGCTCAGGGCTGCACCATCCCGGCCCTGTGCACTGTGACCAGCCGGGACAGTCCCCAGCACAGGTGTATAGGTAAAGGTGGGAAGAACTCATACCCCAAGCAGAGTCGTGTTTGTACAGGTAACATGTGAGTGAAATACAAAATGACTTCCTGAGCCCCAGCTGGGTGAAACCAGCCTCAGGCTGAGAGGAGGATCCCCATCAGATATATAATTCTATAATTCTGCAAGAAAGGCTTTCCTTAACCAAGCAGTCCTATTTTTATTTTGGGTTACACCAATGTTGTAGTGAGGGGTTATGAGGGGAGCATCAGAATCAGGACACAGAATTTATAATACACCAGAGTTAACACAAGAAAGTGTAGGAAATCTATCCACAACACTAAAGACCCAGAATATTCAGCCAAAGCCCTGGATCCCACAGTAATGTCCTACATGAGTCCAGATGAAAACCTAGAGCCCATGACAGTGCCTCCCATGAACCCAACTGGAGGTCTAGAGCCCACAAGAAAGGGGCTGGAGATTTAGCTCAGCAGTGTAAGTACCTGCCTACCAAGCATGAGGTTGTGAGTTTTACTCCTGGGACCAACATGGAAAAAAAAAATGTTTAGTGAATCCTGTCATTGAGCTGGGGATTTAGCTCAGCAGCATAAGCGCCTGCCTGGCAAGTACTAGGTCATGAGTTTACCAAAAAAAAAAGTGGATTGAACCCATGAGAAGGACTCATGCCGGTCTCTTTCACAGATCTGTGTTGGGAAGGCTCAAAGGTCAGTGGTGGAAGCTAGAAAGTCTATGCTAGTGGGGTGAAGGAGCTGTGCTGGTAAGTTGAGGGTTCATGCTGGAGCAGAGAAGTCACACTCAAAATAAGAACCAGGGCTTCCCTGAAAAGTACCACAACCATCCTCAGTGACATGGAGGTCCTAAGCTCTCCAACGATAAGAACAGTGTAGTACATGCCAGAAAGCCAGTGTGACAAGTTGCTCCTGAAGATTAAACAGCACGTCTTCCCCTCCAGAGCCAGGGAGCGATGCTCAATGTAAGGCCCAGGGCTCCCCCAAAGTAACCACAGTCACTCTCACCCACAAGGTCCCGAGCTCCTCCGATGACAATGGTCGAACTCACACTGGGGAAGCTGGTCATGACAGCTCCTCCAGGGGAACCAGCAGCTCAAACAGCAACGCTTAGGAGAACCCGTAACGCCTCACTCGTCTTCTCTGTCTCCATGCTGGTAACGTTCCTCAGGTAGCCATCTACACTGAGCAACCTTACTGATTTAATTCAGCTGGCCTTAAGTTGACCACCATTTTTTAATCCATAACAACTAACAAGACACTTACTGTTTGTGCTGTGTGTATTTGTAAGTCAAATATACCTACTTTGGTTTCAAACCAAGAGACAAGTGGAAACCCCCAGCCCAGCCCCTCCATTTCCCTGGATCAGCCTCACAGCCAACGACTGGCAAACGGTGGTAACTCACAGGCCTGGGCTCCCCCTGTGCTTCAAGCATCTCATTCCAGAGCCACCTGGATGACTGCAAGTCCCAAAGGAGGATGAGCAAGCAGGAGCCCAGAAGGGGAAAGGGCGCTCACCGCTTCCATCAGGCCCTTGACCGTGGGGGACTTCAGCATCAGCGCGTCGAACACATCGTCGGTCTCCTTCCTCACGTACAGCAGCACTGGAAGGCAAGCGGAGAGGCCCTGAGACAGGTGCCTAGGGCTGGAGACCATGAGACGCCTGGACTCGGTGCACGGCGAGCTCCCCAGGCAGCCCGTGCTCACAGCCGAACCTGCTTGTTTGCTGTTTCTAAATACCTGTGCCCCGTGCATCTGCCAGTTGGGGGGCTCCAAGCAGAGGGTGGGGTGCAGAGCTGCAAGTTAGGACCGAGGCACAGTGCCTGTGGCCTGCTTCACCAGGTGACGCTGGGCGACACTAGGAACTCAGCCCCAACGAACTGAGCTGGGGAGAGTACAGGGACGGTGAGGGAGGAGGGGGAGGAGAGAACAGAGTGCAGGCAGATGACCCGGGCTGCAACCAGTGGACTCTGCCCTCCAGTCTCCCAGTAAAGCTGGATGCTAGGCTCTGCCACATGGGGGCGCTGTGAGGGACCAAAGGATGAAGACCCCAGCCCCCAGGGAACATGCTGCACACGGCTAGTCAGTCCGGGAAACAGTGCTAGGAGCCCAAGACTGCCCAGGAAGAGAACGGCAGGGGAGACATATGCGGAGCTCAGCGAGGCTCAGACCTCCCAGGTCCCACGTGTGCGCCTGTCTGACAGTGCCCAACCATCCAGCGGTGGGCAGTGCCACCCTGCAGCCCAGGGGCTGGCCACACTGTCTGTCCACTTTTCCCAGCGATGGGACTACTGCTTCTCTAGAGGGAAGGGAGAGGGTCACGGCTGAAGCCCATGCCCCTGGCCACTCTGGGAAAACACGCCCAGGTCAGAAAGCCCTGCAGGGCCCGGAACCCACTATGGGTTGATGCCAACTTAGCAGGAATTGCTGCCTGCCAAAGAGCAAAGGGGCAGAGGCCAGAAGTCCCTGCCCAAAGACAGAGCTAAAGATGCAGCTTTACAGCTGGCAGGACGCAAGGGACGCTGGGCTCTGCTCTGCTGCCAGCTGAGGTCCAGTTGGGGCGGGAGGAGGGAAAGCAGACGGAAGCCAGGGAGGGGAAGGAGACGTGAGTACTGCTCAGCTGCTTTCTCTTGATGAGATATAAAAATATCTATTAAGTAAATAAAGTGAATATGTCTCCAAAGATTTCCAAATTTAGTCCTCTGGGATGAGTATTTTGTGGCCTCCATTTCCGCTAACATAAATAATCTAATGGCTATTATAAGGCTCAATGTCAGCACTACATGGAAAAATAAGTAGAACCTAGAACCCAGTTACATCTGGATGAGGAAGGTTAAAGTCAAAGAAAGCAGCGCTGGCAGCTCTTACGGAAGAAAATCCTGTAGCTTTTTCCAGCAGCCACCACCCCACAAAGCCATCCACTGCTCTAGGTCAGCACTGCCCTCTCCACTCGCAAGCCAGTGTCTTGGAGACAGGACGCTGCCTCTGGCCTCCAGAGTGGCTGGGGGAGGGGAGAGCCACCAGGCAGGACAATCCCTTGCTTCCCTACAAGTTGTGACGGCCAGGCGCACTTGGGTGCGCTGGTGCTTCCAGGAAGCCAGCTTTCATTAGCTCTGTGCAAGGTGGGACCTGCATTATCACCCGCTGGCAGTGGCAGCATGAAGAGCCACAGTGGCCACGAAGGCAAATCTACCTAGGGTGACTGACGGCTTTGGCCATGGGTGTGACCATGGTCTCTCTTGGGGGAATGTCCAGCAATTATAGAGTAACAGCTGTTACTGACCCCGACCCCAAGACTGTCATGCCCTCACGTGGAGTGGGTGCTCCAGGCAAGAGCTCTCCAGAGACATCACTGCCCTCACCACTGGCAGGTCACAGTGCCCTCCTGTGTCACTGTGACTCAGAGCTAGCAAGGCCACTTACTGTGACTTACTGTGACAACCCAATATGATAACATCTCGGAGGAGCTCTCCAAGTTGGCCTCAACAGGGCAGAGGGGAAACGGCTGCCCAGGATGAGCGCCCAGCGCAGAGGGACTGGGAAGACACAGACACCATCAGCTCTGGTCCTGATCCTTTGGGGAGGTGGAGTAAGACTCAAGTCCAGGGACTGGGCAGTGTCAGCACAACCTAACTGAAGGTCAGAGGAAACCGAGGACAGGGTTCAAGGCAGGAGGGGACTGTGAGCTTCCTGTGTGATAAGAACTGTGCCGGGCTGGGGCTCCCCAGCGCCCAGGGCAGCTGGGCTTTGAGCTCTTCTTGGCAAACTGCCCCCCACCCTGCACCCCACGCCAGCATGCATCCCCCCACAGGTACCTCGCTTTACGCCTTCTTCTTTCATCTGCTTAGCAGGTGCTGGGCCAAACTCCTCCTCCATGGGCCTGAACATCCGTTTAACCAGGACGCTGCTGCGGGAAGACAGCAGAGGCTTTGAAGCAGAGCAGACAAGGTGTCCAAACACAAGGTCACGCCTGTGTCTGTCCTTGTCCTGCTCCATGGCTGGCCCCACGCACGCTCTCCTTCTTCCCCTTGAGGGTCCCGAGGCATCCCTGTTGGAGGCAGGACCTGCAATATCATCTCAAGGTGCTGACGGGGGACCTGCTCTGCATCACGGAGGTGGGCAGCTAGGCTTCAGCCACTGCAGCCTGCACCTGCTCCCCTCTTCTGGTCAGCTCAGGGCTGGGGAGGCAAGAGTGAGCCTGGGTGCCCTGCAGCCACACATGCCCCTCAGGCCACAGGAGGGACACAAGCTGCTCCCTGTGGCTTCCTACCATTCTCCCTCTCTGGCTGGAGCAGATGAGATTGCAGCACTTGGGGTCCCTCAGGGACCCAGGACTTTCCCCGCCACCTGGACACCCATGTGCCGAGGCCCTGCATGACTTCAACTGGGCCAGTTCTGACGATCCCACACTTCCTCACCAAGTTCCTGCCCACCCCAGGCACTCTAAGGAGGAGAACGCTAAGAAGACAGAAAAAGGGAGACAGCACAGTCCCGCACAGACGCTTGCTCTTCCGTCTCAACGGAGGCACGTAGGTGTCTGTGAACTGCTCCTCTCCTGGGGGGTCCCTGAGCCCACAAAGCAAGGCTGGACACAGCAGAACTGTAAAGGCGGGGGTGCTAGGACACACTGCCGTGGTCCAAATCCCTGCTTGGCAATTTACTGCTGTGAGAGCTTGGACAAGTTTCTCAACTTCCCTGGGCCTTAATCTCCTTCCTCTTAAAAAAATCTGTGGACAGAGAAGCAACATTTGAAGAGATGGAAATGCTAACCACCTGATTTGGTAATTCCACATGTATCATGAGATCACACTGTACTCTACAGAAGTAAATGCCAGCATTACATGTCATGTCAAAATTTAACAATTAAGTACATAAAATTGAAAAGGTGGCTGTCACGAACACTCAGGGGATGCACCTAGCACTTGCAGGATTTCCTGGTGCACCATAAGGTGGTGATGGTGAGGACACGCCAGAGAGATCTGGGGAGAAGCCTTAGAAGGCTAGATAAGAAGACAGCTCGAAGCATGTCAGAATGTCCCTGCCTCTGGTCCAGTCTGAGGACTTGACACTGGTAAAGTTCCCTGCAGGGGTGGGTGACACCCGTTAGTCCCAAGATTCCAGGGGGTGTGGGAAAAGCTGGGATTCCCTGTTGGCATTATGGCCACATGGAAGCTATCCATCACTTCTTCAGTCAGGCTAGCGCTAGGGTTCGGGGCAAGAAAGCGCACGGCACGTAACTGAGGGGTCCGAAGCACGTTCCTATTCATTCCAGGGGTTTGCACTGCTGACCCAACAGCGTTCCGATTCTCCCTCTCACATTCTAGCTTAACCAAAGGGTGACCCAACACAAAACCCCTTCACAAAACCTCGGGTTCTATGAAGCAAGTCCGTTTCCTCTTCTTAGTCACCTAAGAATCATGGACACCACGAGCAGATCCTACGTGGGCAAAGTAGCTAGAAGAGAAACAGATCTGCAGGGACCTCACCTTTGAGGGCACCACCTCCCACAGTTACTCAGTAGGTCTCCGATGAGGAGAGCGCAGTGTGAGAAATAATATTAGGAGCCAGCATTTTCTTATTTTCCTGCCTCACCAATTATGCCAAACAATGAAGCAGCTGGAGAGGTACCTGAAGCTGGGGTCCCAGTGTGGAGACAGTCAGTGTGAGGGCCTCACTCCCACCACCCTCACGACACTGTGCTAACAGTGGGTCTGTCACCCCCAGAAGTGCAGTGGCCTGGACCTCATGACTACAAGACTAGAAGGCACAGTCACGGAGCAGCCAGGGGCCCGGAGGTTAATGACTGGTAAACACCCTGCAGAGTCACCAGACACTCTCATGCTGGGTGAGCTTTCCTATGCTTTTTTTTTTTTTTTTACTAACCAAGATTTACTTGTAGTTTTTTGCACTCCTATTGACTTCTGATAGCACCCCCTTCTGAGCCATGACAGATCCTGCCATTAAAATAACATCTTAGATAAACCACACTGCTTGTGGGAATTCAGATATGCTTTTCCATGCTTTCAAATCTATAAACCCAGTAGGAGTCAATATGATAGGATGAGCCTGTTTCCTAGATGAAAGAGCCACACGTCAGGCCTCCCAGTGTCTGAGCAAACTAGGTTTCATTGCAGCACAAAAGGACTGGAGAACCAGGAAAAGCCGGTTTCCCTGGCATCAGACTGCATCCGCGGGCACCAGGAGGCAATCAGTGTGCAGAATGACCCAGGGAGCAGCACATTCAGCTGCTGGCTGTGGGATCAATTTCAGGGAAAGGAGTCAGTCCCCGGGTATGAGCAGAGGAGTGCTAAGTTTCCTTACAAAACACGGAAGGTGGGAAGCTGAAGGGGGGGACTCTGGCCACACCAGCTCAGGTGCTGGAGACACTGGACACCTAGGGAGGAGAGGCTCCCCTAACACAGAAAGGGGGTGCAGGCACCCTAGAGACAGGGTGCTTTTTTCTGCTTACAGCCTTTGTAAACTATTCACGAGAGGCTGACACAGAGAGCCTGCCCCATGTTAGCTGCACAGAAGAGAAGGTCATCATAAGTCCTCACAAAGCCTTTCATACCGTGGAGTAAAATCTCAACTCTATTTTCAACAGACTGTTCTTTGGAAAAGTCAACCCAGGAGGACTTTAATCAATGGCAACTTGGGGTGTTTGAGAAGTCACTTGACAAACGCGGGAGAGAAGAAAGGTTAGAGCTGACAGTGCTCATCACTTTCGGTCATCCCAGCCACTAGAAAAGTGTTACTCACGTGCCAAGAGAGAACAATCTCAGGGGTATTTAAGAATATGGAGATGGAGGCTAAGTCCCAGGCAAGGTTCTGCCCTGCCTAACGGACTGGGTGACCACTGGACTCCTTTGAGAGTCCCTTCCTGTGGAGCTGAAAGTTGCCCACTTTTCTAAATGGCCTGTTTTAACTGCTCAATTCTGCTGGACCACACCAAAGCGATCACAGACAGTGCATGGAGGAATTAACATGGCTCTCTTCCAGTGAAACTCTATGGGTGCTCGGATTTCATAAAATTTTCGCATGCCATGTAATATTATTCTTCTGCATTTTTTTCAACTTTTGAACCATATAGTTTTCAGACTTTTCCAAGACAGATAAGAGCCTGATTTGGTCCTCGGCTGTCATCTGTCACCCTGGCTCTAGGATTAACTCTGTAAGGTTGTCTCCCTACACTTCACCTGAGAAATGTCTCACAGGCTAGTAGATTAGGGACATAGGAGCAAGGAAGCCCAGCTCTATCTGCGGGCCAGGGGAAAATGACCTGCAGATTTCAGTCCATGTATCACCTGCAAACAAAGACTGTAAAACAAATACATTAAAAATGAAAAATGAAGAGAAAAAAAATAAGCCCTCTGGATCAAAGGAAAAATCAGCCCAAAATATCCTGCAAGTCATATGGTTCAGATGCAAGAATCTGGAGAAAGTCGATTTTAAGGAGACTACTAACAAACTTAGTAGCATCCACTGAAGGAATGTAAAGTGCTGAAGTAAAACTGTATTTTAAGAGTTGCAAGGGAAAGGGATGTTTAAATGCTGAAGGCGGGTGATCCAGAGAGCAGGGTAAGAGCTGATGAGCAGAGGTCAAAAGCAGGGAGATGCCAGGAACACAGACAACGTAACTTTTAGGAGTCGTACAGAGGGTACTGAGCACGCCATCACTGGCAACACTCAGCAGGCACACCTACAAGAGGAAGTCGGTGGGGAGCGTGGCAGTTCTTCTGTGGCTCTAAACTGGTGAGCTTTTATATGAGGTTAGGGCGGAAAGCACTCTGAGGATGTGGCTACCGCTCAAACCCTGAGACCACAGTCCTGTGCAGAGACACATTCCCAGCACTGAGTTGAAGGGTGGAGAACTCTAGGGACCTGCAGGGACAGGCTCCTAACTAAGTCCTAGGGGACCACAAGCAGGGTCTCAGTCTTCCTGGTCCCCACTCAAGCCTGCCTGGAGTGAGGGCTTGAGGCAGACACGTGAGTCCAGGTGGTGCAGGGAGCAGGACACTGTCTCCTTTGGCTTTTGCCTCAAGCTCAACTCGATCTTGTGTTGGGGCCAAACACTGGAGCAGGGCTGGCACCAGAATTTCAGTGGCTAGAAAGATGGAATGGAAGAAACAGGGTGCTTAAAAGTAACTACTGCTTCAAAGGCATAGCCCAGGAAGGAGGCACAGGGGAAAGAGAGGCCTGGAGGGAGAGAGGTGTCACCCCAGCTTCCCTCCCCAGAGACTGAGCTGAGAGGGACTTCCCAAGCCACACGTGTCCCGCCCTCTGCCACAGGCGCAGGAGGCGCCGTGTCCACTGACTGTGCAGCGTGGGGAACGTCTTACCCTTCTCGTTCATCATCCGTGTTGTAGTACACCTGTGGGGCAAAACAAGAGGCTCACCAAAGGCCAGACATAGTCCAGAAAGACACGGCACAGTGTGCATGCTTTCCTACGGCAGATACCGTCTGCGAAACACGAAGCTGTTTAACGGTGCTGTGCACGTGTGTGTCTGTGTTTCTAAAGAAATACAAATGTTACCTCTTGGCATTTTCCCTGTGGTTAACTCTTAGATTTTAATGAAATAAAATTGGAAGTCCGCTTCTACCTAGGTAAAGGCAGTCTGACTAGATCTCCATGCCCTTAAGCCAGTTCTTGCTTTGGACCTTTAATGTGTGGCTCGCCAGATCTGAACATCGTGGTTAGAAAGGCTCTGGCCTGCAGCGCAGCTGGCTGGCTGCGTAACGTGTGCCTCTGGAAGGAAGACTGCTGAGGCTGGTCTCTGCGCTAACGAGGAGGGGACAGCAGGACACAGCAGTAGCACACAGGCCTCTGTGTGTTCTCCCCTAAGGGCACTAGGTTGCCTTGGCCTCAAGAGCCTCCATCTGCAGCCTGGAGAAATCTGCCTGGCACTAAGTGCCTAGCACAGGAAGGTGCTCCTGGCCAAGAAGACCATCTCAGGGACAAACACCTTCAAGTGGTCGGTACAGGGGCAGCAAAACCAGAATTTTAAAAAGTATGATACATCCTTACCATGGATAGAACCACAGGTAATCCAAATAGGTACCTCCTCTTGACCCGCTGATTTGTGACAGCTGTGGGTCGCTCGTGGGCTTTATTTGTGTGCTCTAGGATGTTTGTGTCTAAACTGTCACACAGTCACCTTAAAAGCAGCCTCTGATCCTGGTCCCTTTGGTCCTCTGAGTCAGTCCCAGCTGGAAGCCCAGCACACGATACCAACAGGCAAGTTTCCCTCTGTTATTTATTTCTAGGTCTGTGTTTTCATCCTTAAAATTTTAGGTGCTACAAAATATTCTAAAACCTGAGCTACCACAGTGGGTTAAATACTGGAGTTTCTGTTAGTTTAACATTAAGTCTTTCATTTCACATGTAGCTATACTCACAAGGTGGCCATTGCTTCCTAAAAGGAGAGACTGGCTACAACCTTTGTCTTTAGGTAAGAAACGATTTAACCATTCAATGGGAACTGATTTTCTAAGGGAAAAACTGCTGATGGGATCTGTTCCGTGCAGTTTTTTCCCCAGGGCAAGGTAGCAAGTGCAAGCATGTTTCTCACGGATAGGTGGCGCTCTCACATACGCAGCACAACCCAAAGCACAAAGCCAAGGAAATCGGCCTTGTTTCTGTCTGTGTCATTATTCTTCCTGAGCCATCCTCTCCTGTGACAGGGAATGGCTGCTGCCCTGTCCTCCAGTGAGGGGGCCTGCGCATGCAGAGAGCAGGAGGGAGGCCGTACCTGTCCGGTCCTTTGCAGGTTTGCAAAGTGAACGTCAGGGATAAAGAGCACGGGCTGCGAGTGCAGGTCGGGCATGGTCTTGAAGTAGGTGATGTCGCTCTTCTTCTGTAAAGGTATGGCGGCCAACTTCCCATCAGAGGCTGGACGCGACCACAAAACCCATAAACGACAGGGTTATGCATGACAGAAAACTCACACCTGTCAGCCCTGTCTCAGAGAAAGCGGGATTCCCCTACCAGGCTCTCCAAGGACCCAGAGTGAATGCACTTTGAAGGCCTCAGCCCTGGGGCACAGGGGCAGTGTGGGCTTGCTCTCTGGGCCCCCCAAACCTGGCCCGTACAGCACCAGGAAGACGCTGATCTCCGCACTGCAAAATCCCACCTGCCCTAACCTCACCATGCTCCTGTGACTCTGTGCACTCTCCAGGGTCAGTTCCCTCACCACCCCGTCATCCCTGCCTGTGGCTCCCATCCCCCAAGCTTTCCATCTCTGCCCCTGGGCTCCCTGCCCTCCTGGAGGCTCCCCCCCAGCAGTGGGCTCTGGCAAACTCACAGTTGTTACACGGGGCTGGAGGGGCTTGGCCTTTCCCTTTCTTCCTGTTCTGCTTCCTCTCCTCATCTCGGATTTTTCTTTCTGCACCCTGTCAGGGAAAGCAAACACAAACCACATCGGACATGTTATCAGAGCACTTGGGAATCCTGCCACACTGCCACCCTGTCTCACACACACACCCCAGCACGAGCTCAGCCTTCAATCCTACAAAAGCTGTGTGCACTCAGGAGCCTGCAGGAGCCTTGTGACCCGGCGTGGTCCGCTTTTCTCCCTTCCTCGTTTTCCCGCCTGTTTAGAGAGCTTCAGCTATGAACCCACATGGCAGGCCCAGGCCCAGATGGCTAACCAGGGAGCCTGGCAAGGAACCTCAGTGAGGACTACCACATGCCCAGAGACGAAGCACTGGCCCACTGAGTTCCCGTGGAGGCAGGGAATGGCCTCACATCTGCATGGGATTTTCCTGTAAGCCAGCTCAGCTGCTGCCGTGGAGATTGGACAATTAGTGCAGCAGGAACAAGGGAGGGCGAGGGCCCCTGCTGGGTGACCCCACCAAGACAGGCGGAGCCACTACACATGCCTGTGCCCTCTTGGTCTCGGCACTGGTGTCTTCACAGCCGCAGAGATGGGGCTGACTCTACCCCACAGAAAAACCACCTGTCTGCTCATCTGTGTACTTTGTGCTTTGTTATCTGACTGTCTCATTACCTCTTCTTGCTGAACCTTCACACTGCATCCAGCTCACCCGCTGTCACCTCACAGGCCCCGGCAGGCAACAGCTGTGTGGAGCTGAGCAGATGCTGCAGCTCCCTCTCTAAGGCCCAGCTCCCCATCATAGCTCCTGCTCCTGGGCAGCAGATTTAAGGAGCAGAGAAGCCCAATTTAAGAGCTAACTGACAGATGGGCAATGGGCGGGGTCACGAGACAGGTCACAGAAGACAGTGAGGTGGCTTCCGCATGATCAGATTGGGCTTTCTGCGAAGGCAGGTGAGCCCAGCACAGTGGTAAAAGGACACAGCTTTTGAGCTAATCTCAAAGAACTTATGATAACAGCTAACACCTTCCTTGCTTACCTGGCACTAACTTTGTGCCACGTGTTTTCCAATGGATAATTAAGATGTTAGCTAGGAACTCAAATGGGCTTTCTTTTCTTTTGCAGCACTGGGGGCTGAATCCAGGGCTGTTGCAATGACATACATTCTCAGTCCTTTTCATTTTTTATTTTGAGACACCATCTGGGTAAACTGCTAAGTTACCCAGCTTAACAGACTTGCAATTGCCCTGCCTCAGTCTCCCAGACTGAAGATTCCAGCTATGTGCCACCATGCCAGCAAATATGCAGTTTTTTTTTTTGTCTTTTTTTTTTTTATTGGTACCGGGGATCGAACTCACGAATCCCTGCTTGCAAGGCAGGTGCTTATGCCGCTGAGCTAAATCCCCAGCCCCTAAATATGCATTTTTATAACAAAAAAATCATCAAAGGAAGTAACTGTTTTATGCCAAAGGAAGTATTTATTTTATACTGCTCCACTTTAGGTTTTAAGTTGTTGACACATTTCATGGAAATTCATAGCAAGATGAGGATAAAATGTAGAAATACTTGCCTTGGAACTGTCCATAAGATGTAATGTGGTCATTCACGCTTAGATGATGTGCAAGGGAAGCTACCCATGAGGGGTGGGGGCCTGCACTCACGTGTACTTACAAGGGAGTTCTGCACAATACTGCATTTGCTACAAACACAAGTTTGGGTCTTTATTTTCTATTACGTCCAACTTCAAGGTTGGTCAAGCAACTGTACTACTACTCTGAAGAATGGGTCTGGAAATAATCTGTTCCAAGAGTTACATATGCTTCATGCAGATTTTTAGGAAATAAGGCCCCTTGCTTATTATTTTGCATGCACTCTTTGATGTGCTAGGCCCAGGTGATTAACGCAAAACTGAGCACAGGTCTCTACCGAGTGCACGCCTGGGCGCCACTTCTGTGTAGGAATTTCTTGTTCAGAGCCCAAGCATCAGTAAAACAATTTGGACAGCATTTGAACTGGGGGGAAACCCAGCTCTTGGCTCTAAAATAAAGCTTAAGACTTCACAATGACTCACGGCTGTGTTAGTACATTCTGTTAATATGGAGAAAGCTCCCCTCGATCAAGACCGCATTAGAATTCCTTTCCTTCCTAGGTCATTTGTGACCTGGAGCTTCTACAAAGCATTACATGTACTCTTATAAAAGTTCCTTAAGGTCCAGTTCTTTCAAAAGAGGATAATTTACTACAAAGAACCAAGTCATCACTAGACAGTAATATCCCTCATCCCTGTTCATTCAATATGGAGTGCTACACCTGAACAATATACCTTAAGAGTTCCTGCTATAGTGGGGTGTGGTGGTGCATGCCAGTAATTCCAGCACTCGGGAGGCTGAGGCAAGAGGAATGCCATGAGTTCAAGGTCAGTTTGGGCTACCTGAATCACATAGCAAGACCCTGCCCTGCCTCAAGTAGAAAAAAAAAGAAAGTGTTCCTGCTATATATTGTGATCACTTTTGCCAACACAAGTGTTGATAGCAATCTGCCTTTTACCTAACATCCACATTTTTATTTTAAGAATATTTTATTTAAAGTTTTGTGCAAGATACAATTACTGTTTGTAGAAAAAAAATTCTTATTCTTCAAGGAAGATCATGGAAACAAGTACAGAGATGATATTATACATAAGTATCTTCATGGTTAAACAGATATTGGATTTTTTTAATGCATAAGCATAGGCATTTTATTAGTTTCAGAATATCAAAAATGTTAAAGAATACTTGTATTTTTATCTGCAGACTCACAGGTATACAAAGCAGAAATCAGACTGAAAACTCAAAATATGCAGAATTTCATCTGTTTAGGATACTGGATTGTGACTGAGAAACTTACAATTTTAAAATGGAACAACTATTTTTGCTCTAGAGGATAATTCAACTTAAGCATTTACATTTACATATCATTTTAAAAGTGCAAAAATAAAACTTATATACAGGTTAATCCCCTACAAGTAAATTTTGCCTGCTTTTGCAAATTAGGGCTGCAAATGACGAACTACAGCAAAAGATTTTTATCTATTTTATTAGAGAAATTGACAGCAACTCAGTCAATTCACCTACATAGTCCGTGAGATTTTTGTACATGTACATCTCCGTCTAACCCTTGGTATTAGGGTTTGTAGGTTCTCACTAGAAACCCTACATCCACTTATTTGAAATAAATGCTAATCTTTTGCCCCATGGTCTCCAACTATTTTCTTCCACTTAGCAGTGATATTTATTGGACTGATACTTAGAATATAAATTATGAGAAATGCCACCCATTTTCTGACTGGCAAAGTATATGTTAATGTGATTGTTTCTGGGTTTTATTCATATTGACTAACATACTCACATAGGTAAATGATTCTTGCAATTACTTCTCTCTTTGATGTAGCTTACCCTCTTAGTATGATTTCAGGAAGCAATACTCTAGGGAAACCTACAAGACTTCTCATTTTTTTGAGGTGTAAGGCTGGTGCCTAGATGTCCCCCTAAAGCCTCAGGCAGTCATTTTTAAGAGGTGGCTGAATCTATAGAGTATGGGACTGATTCCCAGTGCAGTGCTAAAGGGTGGGGTGATTACTCCATCTGCCCACTGACTGCTTTGGTACCACCCTAATCTCAGTAGCCTAGACACCCTGGAAGGGACAGGAAGAGGCCTGTCTTGTTGGCTGCTTGCTTTGCTACCTTCTGTCACCACAAACTGTTTCTCTCTGCAGTGCTCCTCTACCACGTGCCACCCTGCCTTGGAGCCAGCCAGTTATGGACTGCAACCTCTACAACCTATGAGCCAAATAAACCTTTCCTCCTTTAACTTTGGGTGTCAGGTATTTTGCCTCAACATGAGAAAAGTAGCAAAGACAAAAGGTAAAACTAAATATCAATAAATACTCATAAAAATAATTTCCAGGGTGCTGGGAGTGTGGCTCAGAGGAAGAGTGCTTGGTTGGCATGTATCAGGTACTAGGTTCAATCCCAAGCACCAAAAAACCAAAACAAAAATATTTTCAAACCAAAGATGCAACATGTCATTTTGTTTACCCTTTTAGCTTCTTACAACCCCTGTGATTCTAGAGCATCAGGTAACAACAGTGCACATGGCTCTCCATGCCTTCTGCTAGTCTGAGGGCATCTTATTTTCCTTGGTGTTTACTGCGTGTAGCCTGCTCTTTCCCTCTGCCAGCATGGCAGGGCTGTCCAGTTGCTCTCTGCCAACCTTGCTCTTTTCCCTTCTCCCTAACTCTACTCATGGAGTAAGCCACGAGGAGGGGAATTCCACCACCGCCCTTGGAATACCTAGAACACAGTACAGGAGTTCAAACCACCAATGTGCTCTCCCATCTGTACACCTGATGCTTCTAGGCTGTACGTGATTTGAAAGTATTTCCTTTTTTTTTTTTGGTTCTGTTTTATTTTGAGATGGGGTCTTGCTGTGTTGCCCAGCCTGGGCTCAAACTCATGATCCTTCAGGCTTGGCTGCCTCAGCAGCTGGGGTTACAGGTATGCATCACTGAAGGGACTTACTGTGCTATATTACAGATACTAGTTGTTTGTTTTCATTTTAAAGGCTACTTGACTTTTTGTTGAGGAATTACCATTTTGATATTCTACGTCAAATTATTTGCTGGTGCATAGAGCATGAGCTCAGAAGTGGACTACATTTACGTCCAATTTCTCTATGTGCTATGGTGTGGTTCCTATCTGCAGTGTGCATGATCACAGTGTACACTGGTGTGTCCGGCTCTGTGTCCCGGAGACAGCCCACTGTCCCTCAGACTACTGCACTGCTCTGAGCCACGGGGCTCGTGACACCAACTGAAGCTGTCGCGGCCCACTGCTGTCACAGTCTGGGTGGCTGCCAAGAGTCATGCATGCTGCGTTGCCATCCTTTCTCCTCTCCCTCTTCCCGCTGTCATTGTCCTCACTGAGGGATCCCACTGCTTCCTACTTGTCTTGGTTACTCTTCTCTCATTGTTGAGACAAAATGCTTGATGTCCAAAATTAGGGAAGAAAGGGTTTATTTATCTTACAATTTTTGGAGGTTTCAGGCCATACTTGGCTGGCTCCAAGGCAGGATGGTGTGGCTGATGGATAGCCATTCAAGGCAGCCACAAACAACATGAGGGAACAGGGCAAAAGGGGGAAAAAACATAGCTTCTTCCCTCCTTTATAAGGTAGGCCAGCTCTACCCCTGAGCGGGTGCAGCAATCACACCACCAATCCCAGCGCTAGATACTGAACCAATCACAAATGCTAGTTTCAGCCACCTCCATCACTGCATGAGATTTGGCGGGGGTGCCTAGACACAAACCGTAACACTACCCCTGTCTGCACAGCACCCTGATGGCTCTGTGGGCTGCAACACAGGGCTGTGGCACCTCGGACAGCTGGGGGGCTGCACTGAGTGAGCCAGCCCCCACTCCGCCCTGCACAGCCTCTGAGCCTCAAGTGCTCCCCACTGGTCTCCACTGCCAGGACTCTTGCTCTCCCATCATTCAGAATCAGGCTTGGAGGTGAATCTGTACATGCACCCCATGCTGTCACCACCCAGTTATTCTCTACTGCATCTCGAGGAGGAATGCTCACTGGACTTTCAGGGGCTTTGTTGTTGTTTCATATTTTGTTTTTGGAGCTTTAACACTTGAAAAGAAAGCAATCAGTTTCAAATAACGTACAACATAGAATTAACAGGCTCACAGATGGGAGCACACTAAAGTAATGTGAATTCCTTTATCCCAGATATTTTAGTTGGGTTGGATATACAATACTCTTTACCCTTGGATAAAACCCTTGGTCACATTTATTTACTTCACTAGATATCACTGTCTTCTGACACAGTGTGGTCACTGCAAGTCTGATGATACAAGTTTTCTTATGAGTGACTATTTTACTAAATGCCTGAAGAATGTTGTTCTATTTTAAAATGTCTGATCGCGTAACTGGGTAAGGGCTGTCTGAGTAAATTCCCACAGGTATGTGACAGGCCTCTTAAGCAGGCTTAGCTTCTATTTCGAGATTTTTGGCACCTGCTATGTAGCACTGGCTTGGTCTTCTGCTCAAAAGTTTCCATCCTGTGTAACTGGCTTTTCTTTACCTCTCTTTTGTATCTATTATTTTCTCTGACTCATCTCTTTCTCCATTTTCCTTGATTTTTAAAATTGATCTATCTCTAATTTGTATTTTCTTGAGACTTTGTCAGGTTTCTTCACCTTAGTGCTGCATCTAGCATCCTCTGAAATATTTTAATCTTTCACTGCTAAATCCTCTCCTGAGTTCTAAACTAACTCTTTTTAAGTCATTCTATTCTTCAAAAATCTCAGGGGAGTTTTTCAAGCTGTAGTTTATTTGGTTGTCACAATGTGTGTCATTTTAAAAATGCCACTTGTCCCACTTTGAAACACAGGGCCAGTTTCCGTCTAGTGCCCGTCTCTGTGTCACACACTCACTGTCCATAGATCTACAGTGAGACTGATCTCAAGCTCCTTTTTCTGAGGCATTTTTGGGATCCAACTCTCTTCTCAGGTTCCCATCCAATTAAGTGAGCTGAGCGGGCGGGGACAGTTGCTCCATTTGCTCTCCTGCTCCCTCTGCTGGCAGGTTTACAACGTGACACAACGATGGCCCTTAAAATCTTCCTACTGTGTGACTCTTTCCATCTTCATTCTTATTTTGACTTTCTCTTTCCTTTTCCATTTCGTTCCTCAACTCAACTTGAATCTATGCTCAACAGTTTTTTCCGCAGTTAGGTTTTGTTCTCCAAAACAGATCTTCAGTTTCTAACTTTTGAGAGGTAACAGGATCCATTACAGCACCTGAATTCACTGGGCTCCAGGCTGCCCTTGGAAGGCCACTTTGCCCCCTCGAGTGGCTCCCTGGGAAATGCTGCATCAGGTGACCCACCACCCCGCACGGATGCCAACACCACACAGGTGGTGAAGTTGGTGTTACCTGGGGCTGTGAGGCGCCCTTGTCACTATAGGTGGGTTTTAAGCTGTATGCTGCTGCAGGATTCAGGGAGATCGAAGCACAAGTTCAATGTCTACGTATCACTGATGAGCTTATAGGTGCAACTTCATCCACTGAAGTGCTAGACAAGGCCTTCTTCAACTCACACAGTAATAAAAGGTACCTGGCTGTGTTCTGGGACAGCACCAATGCCCAATAAAAACTGTTATAAAATCTGTTATTTCAGCTATCAAACTAAATCAGATATGGACTAGTATTTGTGTCTTTGCCCAAAATTCATGTGCTGCAGCTGCAGAGGACGACATTTAGAGGGATAACTTGTGGTTTAAGTGAGGTACAGGGGAGGGGCCCTGAGGATGTGATTAGCACACTTACAGAGACAGGCATACTCTCTCCACCACTGGAGGACACTGTTAGAAGAGGGAACCACGAAGTCGAGAAGAGAAGCTGCACCAGGAACTGAAGTAGGCAGCACCTGACCTGGAACTTTCCAGCCTCCTGAGGTGTATACAGTAAATTTATGTTCCAGCTACCCAGTCTGCAGTGTCCTGCTATAACAGCCTGAGCTGACCAGGACACAGGGCAATGCCAACCAGCCACTGTGTGAATGGTAAGACAGGCTAATTAAAAATGAAGGAAGGGAAGGAGCAATGGAGGGAGAGAGGGAGGGAGGGAGGGAGGGAGGGAGGGAAAAAAGGAAGTTAGTTGACTGAGGACTCCTAGATATCTCACAGGAACTGAGAACAAAAGATTCCCACAGTGACTGATGAATTGATTATACTGACACATTAGCACAAAAGGGGGGCGTGTCATTAGAAGCAGCATCTAACAACAAAGACATCTTTATGACAAGCTGTCATCGCTACTTACTTTATCACAGAAGACCTTGATCTGGCAATACGCCCTATGAATGGGTTTATTGCTGCGATTATTATAACTGTAGGTATCAATCTGAATCATCAAAGGAAGTCCTTTCACCCCTTTTTGGGAGGAGAAATCTGTGCTCAGACAATTCACGGTGATGAAAATCTGAAGGAGGGAGAAGCAAAAAGCTTGTAAGTCACAACACAAAGGGTCTCCACGCAGGCACCAGCTGTAGACCGCCACTGAAATACCCAACTTCCAAGGACAACCAAAGAACACCCTGATCACCTGGTGTCAAACTTGTGCAATGCATAAAACAGAATACACACCATGTAATTTATAACTATAACCCGTTCTGCCTTCATGTTTCATCTTGAAATAGACCGTTTACTTTCATACATCAACACTGTCTGACTTATTTTTTTAAACAAGTGTCAGTGAGTCAAGTGAAACACTGTCCTTTCAACACATTAAAGTTAAAATAGTGAAAGTGGCTTCCCTCATCTCTGGTCTGTGGGATAAAAGATAAAAGTCAGACAGCGTCTTTCTTTGCACACTATTACATGGAGACCTGGTAACTACTGACGGCTGTCTGTCTTGAGCGTGAAGCACGAGCTAGGACAGCATTAGCGTTTTCGGAGTCTGGTGCCTGCGCCCTGGCTAGTGGGGAGCGGGCATGCAGTAGGCATCTGGGGCGGGGGCAACAAGCTGAGCCTGGGATAAACCAGCCCAGAGACCTTTCCATTTTCCCCTGAAATTGTCTTTAAGATCTGCGGACAGAATGTAAACACTGACACATTTCCATGTGAGGGAGAAGGTAGGAGAGCAGCTGGCAAAGGTCAGACCAGAGACAGGAGGGAGGAGGGACAGGAACACTGCCAACAGCCTTGTCGTTCTCCTTGAGAGGTGATGTAAGTTATCATAAAACACCGGCGGAGTGAGGGGTGTTAACAGGCTGAACTTCTCCTCAATCTATGCACTACCTGGCGATCTACAGATGCCACCGAGTATCACGGGGCCGAGGTACAAGCACAGCCCCAGACCAAAGGGGGGACCACATGGATAACTGGGACGCGGTCTTGGAGAAGGCCAGAGACACTGTACCCCACACTTGGTTCTGTTTTCACTCATACCCCATGTGTTATTTTAAACGAAATCACGTGCTGCTTTAAAACTGCACAGTATGTATTCTAAAATCCGTGTCATCAGGTGTTATTATTGAACCTTGTTTGGCCCCCAGCACTCTGGAGTCTCCTGCAAACCTGAAGCCTAAAGGCTTCCGTGCTGTGGCCACCCCTTGAGGAGAACCCCCACCCACCCTGGGGAAGTAACAGCCCCAGCAGAGCTGTTTCACAAGCCTTTTGGATTTTTTTTTCACTAGCAAGCCTGATTGAATCCACTCCCAGCCTTGCTGGCTTTGAGGTAATTTACACAACCAGTGCGCTCTCTGTAAAACTTCATTTTGCTTTTATTTTTTCTCCGTTTTTATTTTTTATTCGTACATGCCTGTAGCACACAATCATCACAGGCCTCGTGTGGGGTACTGCACGTACACACACACCTCAGCTCTCTTTGCGCCCCTCTCTTGGTCCCCTCCCATCTGCAACAGATCTACCTTCCACTTCCCATCACCTCTGCACCCCACTCTGGGCACGGAGAAAGGCGCCACTGAGGCAGACAGGCCAGGGGACGGGGCTGCTCTTGAGGTCACCCCGGCCACTGGCTCTCGTGCTTCCTCCACCCAAACACAGATGCCTAAAGCTGCTCTGTGTGAAGGAGTCTGGGGAACACAAGGGCAGCCTGCGGACGACAAGGAATAGAACGGAACTGAACATGGGATTCACACGGACTCAGTCTGCAGGAGCCATGGAATGAGAGCAGCGGACCTTCTGTTTTATAGGAAGGGTGACAGCCAGAGGGTGGAGAGGTTGACCTGCCTCACCATCACTGCTGTCTGTATGTACTCCATGATATGATACTGTGTAACTTCGATACACACAATAACATGGGGCCCTGTAAAGAGACACACACATTCCCTTCATCCATTCCTTTATTTGTTCATTCAGTCTCTAAATATCTATGGGAGCCCATGAGGCACGAAGCATTGGGAAGACAGAGAAAAGCCCACCCCTCCTAGGAGTCCTTCCCACACGGCCTAGTGAGAACTAACCACGGCATCCAACAGCGGCCACCCAGTGTAGAGACCCTGGGAATAGAGGCAGAGCTGGGGCCAGAGACCAGTGAGGTGCAGACCACCCCACCCCGCTGGCTGCAAGGACCTTCACCGAGAAGGGTGAAGGGAAAGACCAGGTGATGAGAGGAAGAATACACAATGTCCAAGATCCACCGAGCGTCCTAGTAAAGACGTTTGCCCACAAGGTCCTATGGCAGAAAATGATGCCACAGCTCCTGGAGAGGCCTGAAGGGCTGAGAACTTGATTTAACATTTGTTAGTACCTGCCCTTCTATGAGCTAGCAGCAGCCACATGGGGCAGGAGGAGAACCAAGAAGCCAACCTGCCTTTCCGTGACCCAGCTGGCGCACAGGCTGGGAAACAAAGAGTGCCACCACTGCCCCCACCAACACAACCACCTCCTGAGCAACCGGCTGGTTAGGAGGAGCACGGCTGAGAAGACAGCGACTCAAGTGGAGTAACAACTCGGGCCCGTACTGTGTGACTGACGACTGACTTGGCAGGCCGGCAGCCAGCAGTCTAAGCACCTACTTAGAGGCTAACAATATGTGACACAGCAACTCTGGGGATCTCCTTCTGTCTTGTTTTTGAAACCCAATATTGTTCTCACTGTTGCTTTGTTCTGTTTGTTTCATTCTCTTTAAAATAAAAACATTTTCTCTCAGCGCACACCGGAGAGGCACATGAGTGGGTTCCATTCTAGCGGATCTGTACATGCACTGGACACATCCTGGCCATTTTCAGGAAGTATCTTAAATGCCTTTACCATCCTGTGACTGTGCTGCCCAAAGGCACCGTAGGTGGTTCCCACAGTCACAGAGTCCCAGGTGGATGGGACAGAGATAATCATTACCCTGGCTGCACAGAGTACTAATCTATGGAAGAAAAAAGTAGGAACAGTTGACCTCATGGTGCTGATGCCTGGAGAGGCAACTGTCCCTAGGGCGCTGTTCCCGAGAGCATGAACCCCGGTGTAGGCCACTGAGGGCACTGTTGGGAGTTGGGGTGCAGGTGGAGGGGTCACTGGGGCATTACCTTTGGGGGTGCATCGCCCTGCTCTGCTTCCCCGCCGCCCTGATTCCTAGGCATCTTTGCCCCTCCACCGCCCCTGCCTTACGTCTGTCTTGGAAGCGGGCTGACCACAGACTCACACCTCTGGAGCCCAAACCCTTCCCTTTCAGTTGCAAGTGTCCAGCGACAGGGAGCTGCCCAGCACACTGGCAGTGCGGAGGCCTAGCAGAGGCTGGAACGCAGCTCTGCGTCGGCGCATCAGGCTTGCTCTCTGCCGCTGAACCAGCCACGACTGTGCCCATGTTTTCACACAGGGAGCTTCCCAGAGAGGCTGTGATCCAAAGGGGCCTCAATCCTACCCAGCTTTTTCTCCAATCCTTCCAAAGGCTGCCTAGCACTACAGAGCCCAGGAGATAAAGCCTCTGATGAGATTTCCCAAGCTGTGAGGAGGTTCAGTTAGCCCTGGAGTAGGTAGCCCTGTGTCCCGCACAGTGCTCAGTATACCGTCTGTCAGGAAAGCACTGTCAGTGTGGCTGCACCAGCTCCACATCTCAGCTAAACTGGCTGAGAGACCACTCCCCAGCACTGCTGACGGAGACAGAGCCTGCAGAGCTGCTGCAGTGACATGCGGACCGGCACCGCAGTGCAGTAAGCAGACTGACCATCTCGGAGAACCTCCCAAAGCAGCCACCGTGGAGATGGCCTCTAGAGGTCAATGAGCGGCTGCACCCAGACTCCACAGACACACGAGGGTCCCTTCACAGGGAATGTCCTTAGCTCAGCAGCTGCCCACGCTGCCCTAAGGTGGGGATCTCATAGCAGTGCTGGCTCTGCTTTCCTCTTGGCAGGCAGATAAATGCCGTGGACAACACATCTGCCACCAAGCTATGAATGCTACATACGTCCACACGCTATTTCCAAACCTCAGCTACTCGGTTTCCTATAATCCCAATGACACACTTTCAGTGTTAATTTCCACTAATTAAACCAAGTGTATCCAGACACATAAACAGATCCACTGTCCTGGGTTGACTCAGGTTATTTCTAAATGTACCAGGACCTTTCCCGGAAGTGGCATGGCCCCAGGGAACCCATCTCACTGTGCTGCCCTCCAAACACCAGAGGTTGAACTTTAGTTGAAGGTGGGGGCAATCAGGGAAGGCGTGGGAGGGGTAAACTAAACCCTCAGCTGTGGACCCCAGCTCAGAGCTGCTCCAGCTACAAACTCAACCATGCCCAGCACCACGTGCAGCAGGCAAATGGGACAGATTTCTTGGAAATTTATCTACAAAACGCATGCATGTAAATGTGCATTAGGGCCTGAGGAAAGGGGATTTCACCAACAGACAGGAAGTCCATGCCAGTGTCAGGCTGGAGAGCTCTTCTGAACTCCAATGGGAGTTGCTGGTGTTAAGGGCCGGTGAGTGCCGTGGACAGTGCATCAGCCGCCCAAAGCATGTGCACTTCACATGTCCACACGCTATTTCCAAAGCTCAGCGACCCGGTTTCCTGTAATTCTAATGACACATCTTCATCGTTTTAGAAAAACTACTTAAACCAAGTGTATTCAGCACATAAATAGATACTACTGTCATGGGTTGACTCATAGATTATTTATGAATGTACCAAGACTTTTCCCAGAAGTAGCAACAATCCTGAGATACTTAAATGTTTTTTAAATAAAATCATTCATTGTATATGAATGACAAGTCTCACTTTGTAGTTACCACACAGAAAAGCAATTTTACTAGGTTTTAAATACCTCGCAGTTGTGCACTTATGTAGAAGCATTTATTAAAATAAATATAAGTAGGGGCTGGGGATTTAGCTCAGTGGCATAAGCACCTGCTTGCAAGCAGGTGGTCGTGAGTTTGATCCCCAGTACCGATAAAAAGTTAAAAAAAAAAACAATACAACTCAGTGAGCTTTAGAATTAATTAATTTTTTTTTTTGTCTTTTT